CCTCGAGGGGAAGAAGCGGTTGCTTGAAGGAGCTGGCAGAAGCCGGCGGGGTGCGAGCTCAAGCCCAGGGTGGCGCGAGTGACAGTGGGCGCGAGACTCCCACAGGGCCTCAGGTAGAGGCCCGGGACCTCATGGTGTAGGGTCAGCCCTGGGCAGGGGGCACCGAGTGGGCGGGCCCCGGCAGGTGTACAGGGAGAGGAAGCGGATGCAGGATGGAAGGGCCCTGTTGCTGAGCTGCGGACCGAAGCCTGGGCCAGGGACCCCCGGCCCCGGCCCCTGTGCTTCATTGCACAGGAGACTTCCTGCTTCCTTCTGCCTCGGCCCGTGGGCCGTGCCGTTCTTCCCGCCGAGTTGGGTCCAGCGAAGGGACCACCCTGAGAGAGGCCTGGGCTGCCAGAGAGAAGTAGGGCAGGCCTGCTCTGGGGCCCAGGGGCGTGGCCAGCAGCGCCCGCGGCCCCCAGGCTCCCCCAGAGACGGGGGGGGGGGGGGGGCGGCCCAGGCGTCTCCACTCTGCGCAGTTCACTCCCCGCCCGCCCGCCTGCCCACAGCCGCTCAGGGCTGGGCGGGAGTGTCCAGCAGTTGGGATTCATGGTGGACACTGGCTGCCATAGGATGGCCGGCTTCCTGGGGGCTGCTGGACTTCCTGCAGGAGTTTTTTTTTTTTTTTTTTTTTTTTCGTGGAAGAGGTTCTGGGGTCCCAAGAGAGGGGAGCCCCAGAAGTCGCCCTGCAGGAGTTTTATCTTAGTCCACTCTGTAAATGGGAAGCAGCTTAACTATGACACATTGTGGGCCTGGGGCCACCCGGGGGCTTCTCACTGGTGAGCACCGTCCTGGCCGCGAACGTGCACCGAGCCCCTACCCTGGGCCAGGCGTCTCGTGCCCCCTGCGCCCTGCGGGTGGGCACTCTCGTGACCCCCGTGGTACAAACAAGAAACAGAAGTTAGCAAGCCTGCGTCCCCAGACACGCAAACAGGGAGCTTTCGGAGTAGTCCGGCACCCCGGGTCAGGTGACACGTGTCCGGCGTGGTCTTGGCCAGCGCCTGCTAGAAGCGGGTGATAACTCCCGGGCAAAGCTGGCCCGGCCAGGAGCCAGGCGTGGAACCTGAGCACGCGCCCGCACTGCTCAGAGCCTCCTGGAGACACTGGGATGTGAGCCTGTGACCCTGCCTTGATGTCCCCAGGGGACACTGGGATGTGAGCCTGTGACCCTGCCCTGCTGTCCCCAGGGGACACTGGGATGTGAGCCTGTGACCCTGCCTTGATGTCCCCAGGGGACACTAGGATGTGAGCCTGTGACCGTGCCCTGCTGTCCCCAGGGGACACTGGGATGTGAGCCTGTGACGCTGCCTTGATGTCCCCAGGAGACACTAGGATGTGAGCCTGTGACCGTGCCCCGCTGTCCCCAGGGGACACAGGGATGTGAGCCTGTGACCCTGCCCCGCTGACCCCAGGGGACACTGGGATGTGAGCCTGTGA